TTGATATTATGTTAAAACAAATATATTGTGTCAAAATAAACATATGTAACATTGCATGGCAATGTAGTAAACTGCATAGCAACAGTAGTCAGTATGGAAGCTTGATATTGCATAAAAATATGTTGGACATTCTCATATCATCTTCGTCACAAAGTTAAACACATTTCAAATCATCTAATATGCTATCCAACAGACCAAAATGACTTCACAAAATGAATATTCAATGCATAAGAAGACCTGCACCATGTGAGAGAATAGACAGATTCTAGCTGAACAAGATCAGAACATTTTTAAAGCTGAGAAGGCAGATTATAAAATACATCATGATACTTTTCAGAAGCTTCAAGTTAAGAAATCATGATGTGTATCAGACTATCAGCAGCAAACTGACTTATATCATACTGATACAGATTACAGAAAGAATGTCAATGAGTAAAAGCATCAGACAATAAAAGATCAGATTATTGAAGAGCTCATGATCAAGCAATTTGTCAAGAGCAAGTTCAAGAAATATCACAAGCACCAGATGCTAGTGGCCTGTGAGAAGCAGAAGACTGAGAAGAAGAAGAAGCATAATAAAGAAGTGATGCAGACACAAGAAGAGATTAAGAATAAGATATATCAAAAAGTAATGAAATTTAATAATAGTTCTAACACATTTAGATCAAAATTAAACTTGCAGTGCATTCAATTGCTGTGTGCATTCAGACCCACATTCATGCAATGATGACTGCTCTTGAAGTCAAAGTTATAGTTCATGAGCACAATCATCTTGCTGCTGCTGATCTGTCAAAAAATGAGATGAAGAAGAAGATGAAAACATTTCAGAGTTATTTGCAGACTTTATTAAATAAGAAAATGCTATCATCATCAGAGAAGATGAACAAGAAGAAGTTTGAGATTGTCATCTCTTTCAATAAAGAAAAGAAGAATGAGAAGAAGAAGAATGACTGAATTGTTGATGTTTAAGAACAAATAATTTACTTATAATTTAAAGTCATTGTCAGATATTTGCTCCATAAAAGAAGTAATTCACAGATATTGTCTTCATGCAAGAAGTCTTTTATGAATATTTTCATTATAAAGAAAGTCATTGTCAGAACATTCTCTCTCTCTTTTATAATATAAATTATAAAACTCTTCATCATGTTCACTCTCAATTCAATATTCTTCAGAATCTTCATCTTCAATAAATCTGTTGTCAACTTGTCATCATGAATTCAGTCTTTCAAGAAAGCAGTTAGGGTTAGTAGGGTTAGTTAGGGTTAGGGTTAGGGTTAGGGTTAGGTTAGGGTTAGTTAGGGTTAGGTTAGGCTTAGATTAGGGTTAGGGTTAGGGTTAGGTTAGGGTTAGGGCTCGATTGAGGGTTAGGTTA